TGGCGGGGAGGCACAGTGAGGGAGAGGGGCTGGGCAGGGACTGGCGGCATGCAGCTCGAGCGGGTGTAGCTTGGGGGAGCAGCAGTATCAGGGCCATGCAGGGGCTGAGGAGGGGAAGGGACAATGATGGGCATGTCTCAAGGTGTTGGGGTGTGTAAACCAGCCCTGCCCTGCCTGCTGCACCCCAGCCCAGCCACTGCTGCAGCCTTGTACTGTGCAAAGTGGAAGAGCTGGTTCGTTGTGGGGATTTTCTAATGAGACAATGGTGTGCTGAGCCCTCAGAAATGCAAAGTCCATCTCAGTTACCGATACGGCTGAAACCGAGTACAAAAGCACTCTGTGCAGGTGGCAGCACCTCTGCCCACCGGGGCTTGTTGGCACCCACCAGCCAACCTGCCTGCGGGGGCTGCCACTGGGGTCTGCAAACACCACACCAGGGAGGGAGGGCATGGCAGCAGGGGGAGCAGGGCTGAAAGAATGGTCCCGAGTGTGTAGCTGGGGAGCCAGCAGCTTATTTGGGACTGAGGTTAGGGATAAATTGGGAAACAACATGGTGGTTATTGGGCAGGAAGGGAAAAAAGCATGCAGTGTCCACAGGTCCCGGAGAGGCTGACTGGGATCTGGCCGGGGCGAGCAGTGCAAGAGCCTGAGGGGTTGCGGGTGGGTGTGGGACGTGCTAGAAGGTCCTGCTCTGTCACCGCAGCAGGAAGGCAGGATTGGAAGCAGGCAAGGAGCTGGGAAGGGCAGGAGTGCCACGGGGCTGTGCCAGCTGGGAGGGACTGGCAGGGCATGTAAGGACAAGGGAGACAGCACTCGGTGCCTGTAAGCACTGGAGAATGGAAGTGGGCAAGCAGTGAGCTGTGTGGGGAAAAGGCTGGGACCTCCCCTGGTGGGATGGAGGGAGTGAGCAGAGGGATCTACCCTGTGCAGGTCAGGTCCCTGCCTCTTGGGCTTTCCCAAGCCGTGGTCTCACTGGCAGATGGCAGGGTGCTGCTGAAGGCTTCACCTGGAGGGCTGGGGGATGTACCTGTCTTCTCCACTCACCCATGGTGGCTGTGGCAGTGGG